ACCACACACACACACACACACACACACAAAACCTGCTAAATAACAAAGGCTTATAGCTGTGTTCTCTAAGTAATATGATTTTTTTTTTCCTGTTTTAAAACAACAACAAAGAATTTCAGGGCAGCATCAGAAAATAATTGTGCTCACCCGGCCAGCGTGGCTCAATGGTTGAGCATCAACCTATGAACCAGGAGGTCATGGTTCAGGAGGTCATGGTTCGATTCCTGGTCAGGGCACATGCCCGGGTTGCAGGATCAATCTCCAGTGTGGGGTGTGCAGGAGGCAGCCGATCAATGATTCCTCTCTCATCATTGATGTTTCTATCTCTCTCTCCCTCTCCCTTCCTCTCTGAAATCAATAAAAACATATAAGAAAAATCATAATTGTGCTCCATGCAATTAAAACCATCCAAAATCAGCATCTCTCTGCAAGGGGAACGAGGGCATAAATGTTCTCTGTGCCAAGCGTTCATAGCACATGGCGAAGGCCAAGGTCTGAAGGCCTAGATTCTGGTTTCACTTACTCTGTGGCCTCTCAGGAGTCACTGGACTTGAGACTCAATTTTCTCGCTAACAAAGTTGGAATAATAACGACATAATAAATACCTAACTCAAAGGGTTGTTGTGAGAACCCATCCTAAAAACACGTCTCAGAGTCACCCTCAGGCCTGGCATACAAGTGCTCAGTTAAGTGGTAGCTACTTTCATCATGATCATTAACACAAGGATATGATTTGCAAATGGAGAGAAATGGCAAAGGCACCAGTACGATGAAAACGAGCAAAAAGGAGAAAAAAGAGGCAGCAAAAGTAAATTTAAGAGATTGTGGCTTTTTCCATCCTTTTCCCCCTAAAGACAACCTGGCAGGTACTTTCATATCTTGAAATTGATTTTAAATCACACACAATAAAGAACAAAGTCCCTGCCCTTCTGATTCATTTACAAGGAGACCAGTGGGTCTGAGCCAGTTACACTAAGTACTTGCCACCTGAATGAGGGGGGCCACCCTCGGATTAGAAGAGGTGTTAGCCAAACACCATTAGGCCAGTTAAGGTCTTCAAACAGCCAAAATGACGCATTGTCTCTCGGCTAATTGTTTCCCTACCAGAATCTTCCTTTTGTCTTGTGTGTTTGGGACTGTTTGAACTGCCAAATTGATTGGGGGGAGGGGGCTATTAAGAAAGCTGTTATGATACTGGGGGATGGGGATCAGGGAGGAAGGTGGGAAGTGTGTGTGAGCGTGTATGTGTGTGTTTTCTGTCAACAGGCTGTGTTTTCTCAACTGTGGGGTTAATTCTCTGTAAAGAGATTCCTTTTGAGTGGAGTCCACCAACTCCTTTTGCAGAGCAGCTAGCTGGGAGAGAAGTTTCCTTCCACTAACAAAACCAGACTTGGCAAGCGTCAGAGGGTTCAGCCTTTAGAGGTAACCGAATAACCAGCCACTTCGCGTCCACAAACTCCACAGATAAGCACTACGTAATTAGGCGAATTCCTCCTTCATATAAAATCTTTGGGGGAGAAGGTTCCCCTCTCTCCTGAGGAATTCCTGTCTTCTCACCCAGCCTACACACACACACACACACACACACCACTCAACGCTCACACACGTGCACCTCTGACCTGTGGCCACTGCATGCAATCTCTTACATGCAATTTAAATGCTGACCCTTTTACTTCTTCCCCAAGCATTTTTACATGAAGGAGGCCTGCCCAGCTAAGACAAAACCTCACCCCAGTTGTAACTTCCATCCATCCTCTCATAGAGGCTAATGCTTTTCTCATGGTGTCCGTGGATATTTAGGGACAAGCAAATATCGAAACAAGATATCTCCACTCCCTTCATTTGCTCCTGACAGCCCCGGGCTCTCTCTCGGCATCTGTCACGAGCTGCTGGGAACCCCACTTATGCACCATAACGGCCTGCGATTTTATTATACAAGGAGTTTATTGCTGGCCTAATTAGTTTCAAACTGGGCATTCCAGCTGAGGACACCTAAAAAACATCTGGTAGAAGGAGCGAGAAGGAGTCCTTGTTCCGAGCCGGTTATGGTTGGATTTCTGCGTAACTCGGGTCTCCTGCACCGGACACAAGTTATCTTTGGAAAAGTAACTGAAAAAAAATAAGGAAACGGTTTCTTCTTTGTGGGAAAGGAGCCGTCTTGTCATGGGGGAACCAGAAACGTCTTAAAGTGGACGTGTTTGGACTGCGTGTACTTTTCCCCAAGCTGCTGGGATCTCAATAGCTTGCTCAAACCTAATGCAAAATGTACTTTGCTACACCACAGGGCGGTTTTGCTGAGGACTTTTTCGTTCTCCCAGCAGCAGCTAGCACTTTATCAATTTATCCATCTGGAACAGGGCTTGCAATCTCTTACATGCAATTTAGAGCAGAAGCAATACCGCTGATTTGAAACAGTGTGTCTTGGGTGTTTTTTGCCAAATGGTAATCCTATAACAAGTCAACAAATCATAGCTCTTTATATGTTCAATACAACACAAAAGACATGAAAAGAAGATTCTAAAATGTAAGTGATTAAAGCATCTGTTGTCTAAAAAAGTCCCAAAGTATTGGATAACATCTTTGTGTTTTTTTTTATTTTAACTTTCTTTAGTGATTTAATATTTGGGAAAGAGATTTATGTGTTTACAGAGTTTTCTCATACCCACAGCCACTGTACTAGATGAGCTATTTCAAGATGGAGGAAAAATGCTAATTCCTTTAAGAGAAAATAATAATATCGTGAAGCCTAAGTTGCAAGAGAAGAATGGAGTAACTATTAACTATGTATGAGACAAATGAACTCACTAAGAAAAAGTTCAGCTCCTTTCAACTCTAGCCAGCACTGGTTGAAATTGCAAAATTTGGAGTTTCTTTCAAAGGCAAGGAGATTATGAACACAAACACCATTTATAGGTAGTCAAAAGCAAGATTCAAGCCATCCTAATTTGTTACATAAAAATTGTATTAACTTTCCTTAGTCTGAGGATGTCTAAATACAAGCAAGTATAAAGCTTAAGGGGTTTAAAGGGAGAGAAAAGTGGGGAATAAGTGGGTAAAGTTGCCTGAAAGATTTTTTTCACAAAGATTATTTTTTTACAGGAGGTTCCTCTCTCTCTCTTCCCCCCAAATGGGGCATGGATGGGTAATAGGGCTAGCTACTAGCTCAGAGCGCATACCCTGGTAGCAGAAATTTCACTCAAGCAAGAAAGGAAGGGCTCGTGAAATTAATACATTCGGTTTGAAATACAACAACTGTCCGCTGGTCATAATTTCCTTTGCAAGGGAGCTCCCTAACTCAAACATAATTCAGCACTCAGATTCTTACTTGATGTTTGTAAATCATTCTACCCCCCTCCGCTCTGGCGAACAACTCCCCACTCTGATATTCACTCATTCCACTGCACCTCGTAATTAAAAGGTACCTCCACCAGGAGTGATTTATACCTCAGCGTTATAAAAAAAAAGTAATTAAAGATTACGTAGCATTTCGGGGAAAGGGGAAGAAAGGAAAATAGTATCCATAAAAATGCGGCATTGGTCTTGTGTGTTTTTTGGGAAAATAACACTAATTCAGAATGCAGCCTCGTGCACGCTTGTCACTTATTGAGGAGGCTGCACTTGGGGGAGACAGGGACCTTGCACCGCCAAGGCGCCCCACTTTCAACAGCTGAGAAATGCGCATTGAAGATTTTGTGATGCGGGTATTTGTATTGTTACCAGTCAAGCTTTCCTAGCATTCTTTGAGCTTACAAACTATTTATTTGGGGGCAGGAAATATACTTAAGGAGTAGGGCCAGCCCGGCCTTTTAACCTCCAGGCGCAGGACTGGAAAACAATTCCATTCTCTACTTTCTCCCATTACAACAAAACCCTCGCCTCCTTCTAAGCATCCTTTGGAAGTAAAGTGTTTTAAGTTTCAACTCCAACTGCAGCCAGCGCCAGGACGCCCGCTCCCTTACAAAGCCGGGAGGGCTGGACCAGCGCAGGCCGAGCGCAGAGGAACTTTAAGAAAGAAACGGAGCCTCCAGGAGGCTCAGTGTGCCGTTCCGGCCCGGCCCGGAATCCCAGCGACTGCTCCTCGGTTACCCCGTGAAGAGCGCCCAAGGGCGTGAGCTGGGTTCGGGCTCCCGGTGCCTCCTCGGTCCGATTGCGGGAGCGCCCCTTCCGAGAACCACCCGGGCCATAAAACTACCCAAACGCAGTCCGTCCAGACGCGTCCACACCGCTTGCGCGACATGCACTTGTCCCGCGCGGGAGAGCAAACTTCAGGGTCGTTGCTCCCCGAGCGCACGGGGAAGCCGAGGCCCGGAACCTGGGACGCACTTTCTCGGAACAGGATCTGTCCACCGTCCCGGCTGCCCTGGTACCTCCTCAGGCCTGGGAGCCCCGATGGACCCGTGCGCCCCCGAGCACCCCGACAGCTGCGGAGGCCCAGGCTGGGCAAGTGCTGCAGAGAGGCGCCAGGCGAGGGGGTCCGCGGCGACCCCGGCCCGGCGAACCCCGCCGGCGGCCCGGGGTGGGCGCCGCGGGAGGTACTCACCGCGCGCAGTGGAGAGAACGCCCCGGCGCGGTGCGGGCTGGCGGGTCCGAAGCGGCGGGCGACTGCGGCGGGCACGTTGCCGCCTCTGCCGCCGCCGCTGCCTCCGCCTCCTGTGCTGCCGCGGCTGCTGGCTCCGGGAGGACCGGCCCCTTCCCCTCCCTGGGCCGGGCCCTCCCTCTGCCCCCGCCCGGGTCCCCGCGCCGATGCGTGGGCGCGTGGGGGAGCCGAGGCGCGGCGCTGGGCTTGGCGGGTACACACCTCCGGCGCCTGGACGCGGGCGCGGGGCTCCGGCCCTGCA